AAAAATAAATAAGTATAAGTTTAGCCTTTGGAGGTAGTATTTGCAAACACTAAGTGAAATTCTTACATTGTAATTATTAACCACTAAGTTATTCAGAAAGTGAAATAATCTTTTTTTTCCTTTTCTGAAGTTCTATCCTTTTGTAAGGAGCCGATTTGGAGGTGAATATTTCCAAGAAAGAATGTAAAATTACGAAGTATATTGACTGGAAATTGGTTAGTTCTGTCACGGCGCTGGCGGACCACTATATCACTAGGCTATGTTCCAAAAGGATACAAGTAACCGAAGGTGGCAATTCAGTCGCTCAAGTGGTCTTATATAGTTGTGATGGCAGTCGAGAGGCACAACTGCAAGGCTGCCATCACAAGTTCTGGGGCAAAGCTTAGATTTGTTTTAAGTCCGTTGTTTGGTCTCTAACCGCTTATCCTTCTATTCTTAGTTATAACTACGAACATATTTGCGGGGGCAGATCCCTCTTATGAACTAATCTGATCCTTCTATGATGAACCCTTGTATATTTACTATTCTACAAAAATATCACAGAAAAGAAACACCTCAACTGTAGTATACGCTACGAAGGTTTGTGTTCTCTCTATTCTTTTATATCTACCAATGCCCATAATATTTATATCGCTAGGTCCTGCTTCCGTCGACCTGCCTTATCATTCGCAGGTATGTGTCAAACTTGAAGCTAATTCAAGTACGTACATATGAAACACGCTGTTCCTTCTCTCCTATGTTTTCCACCCAGTGTAGATCAAGTTCGTAAGAATGTCTTGAAAACAGGCGAATCTGTACAGTCTTGCCATGGGTATCCGATCTCTTTCAAGAAGCTTTGGAGTTCGGTAACTTCCTCGTCAGGACACTGAATACCTGTCAATACCTGGCCAATATCTCCGCCGTAGTTTCGATATTGGAAGAGGCTAATGTTGTACTTAGGTCTCAAGAGACGCAAGAAACGCTCGAGAGGGCGCCTGGCCGCTCGGGAAAGCGGAAAGTATAAAGTCTTTCGTTGGGCACGCTCGAGCGGCCGCCAACCATGTACCGAAGATGGCTCTTGGCAAGCTCGTCAGCGGACAGATCTGTTACGTCCATGTCACTAGACTGCCTGATACGGCCGATGATGGCCTGTAGTTGCTCTGCCCGGCGGCTGCCGGAGTCTGCGAGCGAAATGCCAACCATGACGTTTGCCTCGGATTCAGTAGCATATCGGTAGCTGAACTCGGTGATGGCATGTGGCATGATAGCGTTGACCAACTCAGCAAAAGCGCCAGGGCGTTCGGGGATATTAACAGAGAGAAGGGCCTCTTTGCCCTCACCGTACTTGGCACGCGCGGAGACGAAGCCCAGGCGATCAAAGTCCATGTTTGCACCGGATGTGATGGCAACGACGGACCGGGTGGGGTCAGCGGATGGGTTGGCAGCAACCCACTTCTTGAGTCCGGCAACGGCCAGCGCGCCGGCGGGCTCTATGATGGAGCGCGTGTCTTCGAACATGTCTCTGATGGCGGCACAAGCCTCGTCGGTGGTGACGTGGACCATCTCGTCAACGACCTCTTGGCAGATCCGGAAGGTCTCCTCACCAACCGTCTTGACGGCGGCACCATCGGCAAACAAACCAACATCTTTGAGAAGGACACGCTCACCCTTGGCGAGTGACTGGGTCATGGCGTCCGCGTCATAGGTCTCGACGCCGATGATTTTGACATGGGGGGCGATGCGCTTCACGTAGACACCAACACCCGCAATCAATCCACCGCCGCCAACAGCACAGAAGATGGCCTGCAGCTTCTGCAAATTGGTCTGTGACAAGATCTCCATGCCGATGGTGCCTTGCCCGGCGATTACATACGGGTCGTCGAAAGGGGGGATGTTGATGAGGCCGTCCGACTTGGCCCTTCGCGCACACTCCTCCTTTGCTTCGTCGAAATCGGCGCCATGGAGAACGACGTGGCTCCCCATGCGGGAAACGTTGAGATGCTTGATGCTGGGGGTGCCCTTGGGCATGATGACAGTAGCGGGGATCTTCAACTTGCGGGCGGAGTATGCTACTCCTTGGGCGTGGTTGCCGGCACTGCAGCAGACCACACCCTTCCAGGACTCCTTGGGGTCGAGATGGGCCATCTTGTTGTAGGCGCCACGAAGCTTAAAGCTAAAAACGGGCTGTTCATCTTCACGCTTAAGGAGGACGTTGCACTCGAGGCGGTTGCTCAGGTTGACAGCCCGGGTTAGAGGCACCTCACTGCAGACTTCCCGGACACGAGGGAAAGAGGTGATGATGAGGCGCAGGTACTGTTTGTGGGTTAGCACAGGTCTTGTCCCATAAAGGAGCGATGAGTCACCCGGCAGAAAGGGCCATGAGCCAGACTCGCTGTCGGAAAATGAGAATGAAACAGGAGGAATGTCCAGATGCTGAACTTACATCTACGTGACCGTTCGGAAGCAGGAACTCATCAGGAACAATGTCCTTCATCTTGCTGGTCGTGGCATCCTCCGATGGCGGCGATGGCTGCGCGCTGTACTCGGTCAGTGCGAGGTTGCCAACTGAAGGAGGACTCGCCGGCCTCTCGCCATTGACACCGTTAACTACGTGCAGCGAAGCACCGTTGACGAGCAGCGGCTCTGCACCTTGTGTTGAATCCATTTTACGGTGTGCCTCCAACAATGGAGAGTAGAGATGTGAAAGTTGTTTCAGAAAAAGAAGTGAACCAAACGCAGTGCCGGTGTCGGTGCCAGCGTTTAAGCTCAAAGAGTCAGGGAAAGTCATAAACCTCCCATGAACCCCGTCCGCACTATTTTTGTCAGGCGTCGCCCGGAGTGGGCCCCACTGTCCAGCTCCTGTACACTACACCAGTGTACATAGGTGCGGTAGGTACCTAGTTTGCTGCAGTTAGCTTGGCAGCGGTTACGGGAAAGTACTTGAGGCGGGAACACCTCAGAGTTATTGGCGGATTTTATTGCCTCATCCCACAGGAAGAGATCGTCTTGAAGGAGGTGCTGTTCGATATTCCCTGCCCAGGCTGCTGCTGGAACCCAACATAAGAGGGGCTTCCCAAGAGTGAAGAAGATGCTGATGTACCACGGTACCTGCCAGACAACAATAACCAATGTTTCCTAAACCAAAACACTGCTGCTGCCTTTTCAGTGATGTCGCTGACTCGCTGTGCATGTTGCGCGAGGAAATCAGGGTGTAAGTGATAGTGAGCATGTACACCAGAGGTATTCGAGGTACCTGTACGGTCTTGGTTGCGGGGCCGGGCCCGGGCGGGAGTTGTGGGGTGCCTCGACCTTTTTCGCCGTTTTGGATCTATCCATTCCATCATGTAGCAGGCACTGTCGCCCATCGCCTATCGTCATCGCCATTGCCCGCCCGTCTCCGTCTCCCGTCGCTTCATAGCCGAATCAGTCCCGCCCGTCTCTGCGAATCGCCCGCCAAGTCTACCCTTACCGCAGCTCCCACTTCCTAGAACAGAGCCCGACTGCCAGACATCCCGTCGACATGCCCGATTCTACGAACAACCAAGGCTCAGCCCCACCCGGCCTTTCCTCTAGGCCTCTCCCCTCCTCCTTTGACGATAACGCGTGAGTCGAGTCGCCTTGCTTTACCCTTCTGGGCGCTGTATTTCCACACCGTTACATGCCACAAGCACCCGATGCTGACGAGGCCTCGCCTGTTTTCGTTCCCAAACAGTGACTTTTACAACGAAAATGGCTTCCAAAAGGTGTCCCGCCGTCTCCGCGAGGAGCCCTTGATCCCCATCGGTTGTATCGCCACCGTCGCGGCCTTCACGGGCGCCTACCGTGCCATGCGCCGCGGTGACCACCAGCAGGTTCAGCGCATGTTCCGCGCCCGTGTTGCCGCCCAGGCCTTTACCGTCGTCGCGATGGTCGCCGGCAGCTGGTACTACGCTGCCGATCGCCAAAAGCAGAAGGAGCTGTGGAAGCTGAAGGAACAGCAGGACGCCGAAGAGAAGCGTCAGAAGTGGATTAGGGAGCTTGAGGTGCGCGATGCCGAGGACAAGGCCCTGCAGGAGAGACTCGAGAAGAGGAGGAAGAAGAAGGCAGAGCGCGACTCGGCTGCTGGCGCTCCCGATGGCGTCGCCGCTCAAGCCCAGGCCGCCTATGCTGGTGCCAAGGACAAGGCCAGCAATCTAGCCGGAAACGTAGCGCCCGAGGATCCCACCAAGTCCCACGCCGCAGGTGTCCGCGAGGCACTACCTACTTGGCTTGGGGGCTCCAAGGGAGCCGATGGGTCGTCGCGGGATAAGAATTAGGCCGAATATAAACGTGACGGAAGGCGGCCAGTCAGGTATGTGTTTGCGAATGATGTACGATATGAAAGGACGGTCGGAGACGACATTGTTTGGCACCCGCAAAGGTTTCGGTCTGCCACTCTCCCCAATGCTTTGTTGGTATTAATATGTTTATGCGGTAAAAGAGGCATAACGATCGCACCTTGGTTAGTGAAGCTTCCTATGGCCAACTATTTATGCCATGCTACCGCCACTCCTGTTGCTCCCTACAAGCCCGGCCATCTCTAGTAATGCTCTGTCGGCTTCAATGTCGCCCGTCCCCAGGTTGATTCTCCTTCTAGCTTCAGCTTCTCTTGCTTCCCACGCCCATTGTTCTGCTTGGTGCCTTGCTTCCTCGTCCCCGCCGCAGCCCCAGACCTCCACGCTTTCAATGTCAAACGCTCTTGGAAATTATACTCTCTGACCATGCTCGTCTGAAACGCCCCTCCGCTTGAAGCATAATCATGGGTGAAGCAGCCATACTCGAAGCTGCCATCTAACATCAGAGACACGGGCCCAAGTGGGATCATGCCTGACCGGCGATATGCTTGGCTAGGCTTGGGCGGTGGACACCCGAATGATACCCCGGCATGGCTCGTTGAGGCTGAGGGTCTGGTGAACGAGACATAATCCTTGTTTAGTGGCGATGCTCGAAAGAGGTCATGTATCGGTTCGAGCTGGAATAAAATTGTTTCCTCTCCACCAAAGCACTCCCTATGAGTGAGTTTCCAGGGCTCGAAGATGTAGACCCCGAAGGCGAGTCGCTCACCTTCGCCAGAGCTGCCGGGGGGAAAACGTCTCGGGGGCAAAGAGGCCCAGAAAGCCGGCACTGATCCGTTGCTGTGATGGTCAGACTCATCCAGTAAGCGCGTTCCGCTAACAAGCAGGATCGTCGGCGCTCTCCAGTTGAATACTTTCGTCTCGAAACTGCCCATGCTGAATCCGTCTAGATCTCCGGCGTATAGGAGGCGTATTCGTCGGAATAGAAATGAACCGGGGATGAAGAAGGACATTTGTGATAGGATACTTGCATTCATGATGGACCCGGTGTCTTGCAATAGCGGTTGCCTGGGTTCGGGAGGCATAACTGGGGACCTGAACGTATCACCCTTGCCTTTGTGAAAGTCGAGTTCCTTTGAGAAAAGAAAATGCTCAAAAAGGGGGGCGAGTCCTTGGAAGAGAAAGGGCAGGCAGCCGGCTATGACCTTGTTGAAGCGGTGATATTCGATGCCTGGGTTTTGCTCCACGTCAAGGAAGGCCGCCAGAATAGACTCGGCTGCTGTCCTCAGACTTTGTAGTCCGGCCCCGGTCACGCGATCGGGATCAGAGTCCAAACTGTCCTGGCCATCGAGTGGTGCGACGAGAAGGAGGAGCATGATGAGTTTCCGAAAATTGTCCCCCGGTATCATAGCCCCGTGAGCGGCGGGCATATTCTGCTGTTTCTTAGAACCCACATGGCCCAGAGCATCGAATGCAGCAAGTACCAGTTCGTCATTGTCGAGCCCTTGTCCATCACTTCCGATTTGTTCTCTTGCGTTCTTCGAGTGACTGGGCGTGTCGACAGCCGGTTTCGCAAATTTGCGATCGTAAACGGCCAGGCTCTTGAATAGCAACTTGGTTTTATCAGCAGCCCGCTTTCCCAACACGCGCCGATATCTGTCAGTCACGAGAGTGATCACTATGACCATCTGCTCCAGGCCCAATACGGCGGGGGCATCCTCCAGAAAAGGAAAGGCCGCAATGTAGGATGCCATCTGAAAGAGCACAGCAGAGACGTCGAGAATGCCGGGAACTTTGAGATATTTCGCAACGGTGCCCTCTTTGAGATAGCCTACACGCTGCTCATGGTCGGCCAGGCTCTTGAAGACTTGCTTCAGCGAGTACAGCTCAAGAGATGTAAAGCACTTTTCTGCAAATATGTTGGCCTGTGGGTAGATTAGCTTGGTCCAACGACAGAATTCGCGGTCGGCGGTTCAGCGGCATCGAACAAAACTCACCAGTTCCTTGACGATCTCTTCGTGGGATAGGGGGGCCGGCTTCTCCTCTGACAGTACTTGGCCCATGGTAGCTGAAGCCGCAGCACTCGAAACGTGAACAAAAAATAGCAAGCAGCAAGGCCGGGAGACTGGTTGTATCAAGGCAACCTCAAGACATGGTATGTGGGTGCAACTGGCCACACGGAATCATTCGAACCTGGTTTAGGCATAGCATGACCTACGGATAAGTTCGCAGGTTTGGGCGTTGAAAGGCCGTAGGTGGATGTGGAGAAGGTGGCCTAGTTCTAGAGTTATAGAACGCACCTGCAGCGCGAGATAGGCCAGGAAAATGAAGGTGCTTGAGATGAGATTGGATCCTGCCGGCGAAATGAATGAGGATGGTGGTCGGGGCAGAGCCCAGGAGAGGTAGATAAGTCGGTACTGGGGCAGAGACAAGGTGGGGTCATAGCTCTAAGCAACCTCAACCCGTCAATCCATGGATTCGACGATCCATTTTTGGGTTGGGTGGGAGGGAGGTACAACTACGTGTACGCCAATGTTTGTCCACTTATCGTTGCAGTGGACGTTTGCACCGGTGGTTTCCGCTCCTGCCTAGTTCTAGTATGTCAGTTCAGACTCGAGTCTCTCTCTCCCCAGTTCTTATGCAAGCTGTATCGAAGATGTACCTAGTGGTTGCGTTGACACCCACCAGCTACTAACCTATCCGCCCATGAAACCTAGTCCCCTCCCAGCTCAAAGAGCGACATTGTTGATTATCATCGGGCTCGAACCGCTATGGTTTTGAATAGACAATCGAACACCTCGGTGCCCCCTGCCTGTACAGTAGTGGACGTAGAAATACTGCACCCGTTTGTAATCCAGGTATGAGGTACATACCAGTGGCGTCCCGTGCGCGTTGTACATAGTAAGTACGTATTGGGCATACATTGCAGGTGCGGGGTGAGGTAGCTCAGGCAGATACCTAGCTAGCTGGGTACAGTATAGAGGTGAGAGCGAGGGGGCCCTGGGAGATCCAATCATAAACACTAGGCCGAGGCCGGTGTATGTGACACCGTACAACTACCTAGGTAGGTACATGGTTGTCTACGTGCCGCAATCCATGTGGGAGACGAGGACGAACTGGCTCCTAGCTCCATGGAAGCGAGGAACTAGAACTTAGCTTGCTGTTACCAAAGCATCACCTGTTTTGAGTGTCTTGTGCTAGGTCCCTTCCATACTATAGGCGGGGCGTCCTACTATATAAAGTGGTCTTCCATCATCATCATCATCATCATCATCATCATCATCATCATCATCATCATCTGTCGTCAAGCCTGACCTTGACGCCTTCGTTCTACTACACCCAAGAAATTGATTTCTGAAACTTGACGGCCACAGTCAATCGTCGAATCTCGAGTGTAATTAGCCCATATTCAACACCATGGCCGACTCGAGCGACAATGCCAACCAAGCTCCCGCTATCGACGAGACTCCCATCTCTCCTAGCCGTCCTGACCCCCAGCGCAAGAACTCTCTCGAACAGCATCTGAAACATCGCCCGGTGCGCCAAGAACTGGTGAAGAGTATGATCTTCTGCCCCATGTTCAAGCAACCGAACGCATAGTTGCACGTATGTTGAACAAGGTTCACTAATCTGCCAACAACTGCCACGATACAGAAAACATTCTTCCGGCATCAAATGCAGCTCCGGGGCTCATAGCACAGCAGAAAGAGGTAATGTTATCTTGTCAAGGCTGATTTGTCCAAGGACCGTGCTGACATCCTATCTTTGCCCCGATACCAGCTCGAAAAGCATATGCGTGCTGATTCTCTGAACGAAAAAATCGCCCACCGGCCCTCACCGGAGTCATTGATCAAGGAAGGAGTGCTTCATGAAGACCCACGCTCGCCGGAAGAAAAGTACCAGGAGGCTATTGAAGAAGAATATGCGAAAAGAGAAGGCGGTGCTTAATCAACACCCACAGCATGATGTTTTCTGCCGTTTATGAAGAATTGCTGAATAGTCCGACACAAATCACCAAACAACAAGTCTTGATTGGACCACATGATCTATTTAGTGAGCTAGTTGGATCGCGATGAGCGCCTCTCCCCACGGCGACGGGATGACCTCTACTCTATATATCTTTCTCCTATATTCAAGACCCGACGCGATAAAATAAACGCAGACAATCTTAAAGTAGCTCTCAGGGTGAATACTGTAGTTCATCTCACTACGTAGCGTCTATATCTCGTAGAATTGATAAATTATATGCTCATTCAAGCCAGACCATGTTGTTTTGTATAAGTTTTGTTACTTCTTCGGCAACAATAGGACTTTGAAGATCAAACAGCGGGACAGAGTAGCACATAACCACAAACTGGAATGAAAGCGTTGGTACAGTGCAATGAGCACTGATTCAGAGAACAATGGAATAACTAAAGATGCAACAAGTTTATCGTCCACCATTAAACCTGGAGATATCCCTTTAACAGCCTGGCTGTCAAACATCCTTTATCCAATGCTCTGCACTACCTCCTACCCAAAACAGGAAACTTCAGTCGACATAATAAAATCCTGCAATCCAAATACAATCCCACGTCTAGTAGTGCCACAAAACAATATCGTACATTATCCTGTATGTTGGGTAACGGGCACCAAGCGATATTCCGCAGATGTATACCCTAGGGCAAAGGCAGACGCCGTTATCTGCCGTGATAATAATCCGATGCCCGAGGCTCGTCTTTGGCCGGATTCGCTTGGTGGTGGTTGATAACAACGACCTTGTCCTTCCTTTTGGCAGTGACACTATGGTTTTCTTGCACAGAAGTTAGCACACGCAATCTATGATGCCGACTGAAAAGCTGAAAGTGCACATACTTGCAGTACCATCCCTGTAAGAGACATTCGACGAGGACCTTGAGTTGCTGGACGATGACGGTGATGTGGTGCGTGAGCTATGGTAGGAAGACTTTTCTTGGTTGCCACCCATTTTGTTGGCCGGATAGGAAGCTGCTTGGGCGTGCTGTGGTGGTTGGAAAAGGAGAAGCGTTGCTGAGAAGATGCGATCAACTTGTAGAGGCTCGAAAGCACTTTTTTGTTGGGACAGGGATGGGTCAAAAGTGGTAAGGACCACAGTGATATGATAGAGAGCTTATATAGACTTGGTGTTCTGTTCTCTACTTGAATTTGACGATCTGGAGCTCATGAGACAGAGCGAAGCAGACTCAGCATTGCTTTGCCAGGGGACTAGCTGTACGCAGCACTGCCTCGGTGAGTCCTAGGCGGAATGGTAGGCACTGGCCTTCATTTCCATTTGACTGCTGGAAAGCACCATAGAACGAAACAGAATGACTCAATCCGGCCGCTTGGAGGTTCAAGTCAAGGGGAGAGGAAGGTAGGTAGATCCAGATGGCGCAGCTGGTGGTCACCGAGCCCTCTTTCCAGCAAAGCATGACGACAGCAGCAAAGCAGCAACCAGGCCGTCAAGGACCGCAAACTAAACAACCAGGCCCATGGTCAGGCACTCGCAAGGGGTTGATTCTGGACGGCGAAGATTGAGGCCAGGGTAGCTTGCACCAAAGCCCAAATTGCCGTATTGGCAAAGAGAAGCAGGACCTTCCGCTTGTCAGTTGACGAAGACCAAGCAGCACGGAGACAGAAGAGCTTACCAAAGGAGGCATGAAGCGATTTCATGGCAGATAACCATTGCTCGCCAATTTGCGTCGCTTCGCAGGCATCACGGCTCGTAAATCGTAACAAAAAGTCCTACGTTGGCCTAACAGACCAAGGGGCGACCGATGTCCAGATTGCTGCCTGGGCTGCCTTGTGTGTTAAAAGATGCCGGCGACATGACTCATGGGTTCTCGCACTTTTGTCCCTTTTGTGCTGTAGGCCGAATGCCTTCTTTTCAGCCTTGGTAGGACAGACCGACAGACGGGACACTGGTCCTTCGTGCGTGAAAGCCGTGTGAAAGAGTAGAAGCGGTGGTGATGCGTACGAGGCAGAAAGGGGGACGCTGCAAATTTTCGGTGAGATGGAGGCAATGCCGGAGAGTACCTAAGTACCGGTAGGTGAAGCACAAGAGGCAGATTGCAGGGCGTCCTCGGTCAAGCATCTCAGTCTGCCCTCCCTGCCTCCCTCTGTCTGGATGGCCCGGGCAATTGACGGCTCAGCCACGGAAGAGTTCATCAATCTTTGACTTTTGGCCTTGGGGTCAAAACCATGTCCATGGCGCTCATACTATGATGAAGAGTAGAGGTAGGCGGAGGGGTGCGAGCTGAAGAATGTTTAGGCGATGCGCAACGTACCTCTACGAGTACATACCTACAATGAGGTACCCAGCTCGCTCATACAGTCTTGCTTGTTACTCGCCCAGCAAATGGTCAGGGGTCGGAAGAGATGTCGTCATGACCCCACTAATTGATTGCCTGCCGCAAGGTATCATCTGGTAGGTAGACGTAGGTACCTGGCTCAACTGTAGGTAACACAACCGCTTGGCTTCCAATTGCTGGCCTAGCTCACTAGGTGAGAGGGGAGCATCCATTGAGCCAGGTGTCCAACTAGGTACTCAAGCTCCTACAGTTCAACCCGACGACCTTCCATTGTCTTTCCAGAGTCCGCAATCCACGTTTCGAGTCTGCCCCTTTCTCATTATTCTTCCCTTTCGCAGATACCCAACCCCGAGTACGCCCAATTCAAAATCGCCAAGCCGCAATCATGAAGTCCATTTTGCTGTCTCTGTCGCTGCTGGCCTCCGCCACTGTTGGCGTCCTAGCCTCTGAAGAGCTGGGCATCGACGTTACAGTTCCCGTCGAGTGCGCTCGCAAGACTCGCAAGGGCGACAAGATCAACGTCCATTACCGCGGCACCCTCCAATCCAACGGCCAGCAGTTTGATGCCAGCAAGTCACTCTGCCACCAGGCCGTCAATGTGTTCTGCGCTTCGAGCAATGCTAACATCCGTGACTGCTCCAGGCTATGACCGCGGGTCACCCTTCAGCTTCAAGCTCGGCGGTGGTCAGGTTATCAAGGGGTTGGTTGACACTTGATCGCTGTAAAAACCAGAAACAAGGCGGTGCTAACCCATTCGATCCGATAGATGGGACGAAGGCCTCGTCGACATGTGCATCGGCGAGAAGCGGACATTGACGGTTCCTCCCAGTTACGGCTATGGCCAGCGTTCCATCGGTCCCATCCCGGCCGGTTCCACCCTGGTTTTCGAGACCGAGTTGGTGGGCATTGACGGTGTCCCCAAGCCCGAATCCATCGTTTACAAGAAGGCCGCCGAGAAGGCCGAGGAGGCTGCTTCCACGGTTGATGAAAAGGCTGCTGATGCCACCGACAAGGCTGGAGAGAAGATTGCGGAGGCTACCGAGAAGGTCGAGGAGAAGGTCGAGCAGGCTTCTGCCAATGTTGCCGAGAAGGTGGCCAGCGTGGTTAGCGGAGCTGCCGAAGCCGTCAAGACGGTTGTGGCCGACACTGATGATCTCCAGGAACATAACGAGCTCTGAGACGCATCAACTTTATCATGTTCGATTCTACGGTATATATGTACGTAACAACGTAGTTGTAGAACCAGCCACATGCACCTGCCGTTAGTTTGACGTGCTGCAGGGTTTCTTACCATCGTGCGCGTGTATTTGTTGATGTCGCCAGTCTACCAAAGTTGCCTCCCGAACCTTCGAGGGCACGGCATTTCAGGCACGGTGCCTTCACGTTCGGCCGGAAAAACAAGGGTTGGTCTACACACAGCATCTACCATCAACTCGAGGGAGGCAGGCTTGTAAAGTCGTCCTTCGGCCCTTCACGTAAAAATGCCGGCGACATGGTTTTGCCACGAGACTCTGATAATGGTGAGCTTCAGTTGGTGTGCAAAAGTCCCGTACATCATGGCTGGGTGTCTATAGGGTCAAGGCGGTGTCTATGTACAGTAAGTCGTTCTTACCATATCCTAGGGTTAGGTTTTTCGCCGAGTGAGTGATGACCGCAATTTGTGAACTGACTCGTGACAAACTCTTCCCTGACAGCGACAGCCGCTGCACGTCTGGGGTAAAGTCCTCCAGCGGACGCGATCCGACACCGCAATCGCATAAACGCTCTCATCTTACTCATTGCTACCTTGACTGCACCTTCCACTTGGTGTTGCTTGGTAGTAAACACTTCTGGTGAAGTGCTCAATTCCAGAAGTTTTGTGCGGCGAAGGAAAACATCGCTGGGCCGACGCAGGCTGTGAGTCTGAAAACAAGGCTTGTCCTTTTAACCCGAGCAACTGGATTATCATACATTTTAAGTGGTGCAATACTAACATGCACGGATACACTCTGCAGGCGAGGGGGGACTGTAGGTCCAGAAGCATCGCTGCGGCATCAAGCCTTTCAGCCCGCTCACACAAAGCGCTTGGTCAAACAGACAGACATTTGCAGCTTTGTTCGGGGCTGCTGTTGCTTGCTTGCAGAAAGAAGCGGCAAACCCAATCGGTAAAACGCTGACCCAGACGGAGCAGGGACGGGATCACGAAGCCACCGCTTTCGCACCATCACCTATATCCAAAGTCTCTCTCGCTTCACTTACCTGTTTTGGTTTATATGCGGCTTTTGCAACATCAAGAGTTGACGACATGCTGCTCATTGATGATTGCGCACCGCTAAAACTCAGTCATGTGGTCAACCTGCTTTCAACGCCTTCCTCCACCGGCCGAATCTCGCAGTCACCAAGCTTCGCTCTTACATCGAGTGGGAATATTTAGTTATCCGTGTATTTCCGCTTCACCAGCCAACTTCTCACCATCATGGCTCATAGTGCCGGAAACGAGAGCGCCTCCTCGAGGCTTCGTGCCATGTTGCCTCCCGTCAACTTCATCAGCATTCACTATGCCTACTTCATCGTCGTCTGCATGTTCGCCTCACTCATCTTCTGGGCCTCGTCCAATCCGGCCCATAGCATCAGCTACCCAGATAGCTTATTCTTGGTCGTGAGTGCTGCCACTGAGACTGGACTGAATACTGTCAACTTAAGTGAGATGACAACATGGCAGCAGATCTTGCTTTTTCTTCTCATCATATTCGGCAGTGCCATCTGGGTTTCTATCTGGACCGTCCTAGCCCGCAAACATGTCTTTGAGACGCGCTTCAAGGACGTGGTCCGCGCCGATCGGCTTCGAAGGGCCAACAGGCCGAGTTTAGGCAGCCTCTCACGCTTGAGGTTCATGCCGTCCCAGGGAAGACGGTCGCTGAATGTCATTCCATCGCCGGCCATCAACGACACCCCTGATGTGGTCGGCAAATCAACATCGAGTCCTGTCAATCTTGATGATCCAATCCTGAATGTTCACGAACATCACACCCAATGCACTGGAACCACCGGGTTTTCTGACAAGAACGAGTCGCAATGTTCCCCCACGCTTGCACATATCGCATTCGCCGAATCGCCACATTCAAGCCCCGAGAAACACCCACCAACTGGCATTTCTACGGCGGCGCAATACGGATATCTTGGAAGTTTGAACAATGCGACCCGCAGGATCGGCTCTCATAGGCATGAGCCTATGGAACCCGAAAGGAACGAGAAGGGCGAGTTCAGCGTGCGCAGTCTTTTCGCTCGCGCGGCAGGCAGAAACGCACAGTTCCACGATCTCTCCCGGGAGGAGCGCCGTGTGCTTGGAGGTTGCGAGTACCGTGCTCTGAGGGTTTTGGCGGTTGTCATACCGCTCTATTTCTTTCTTTGGCAGCTCATCGGCTGCATTGCGTTGGGCGCCTGGATCAACCACCACCGCCCTGAGCCGCCCCTCAGAAACGGCATCAATCCGTGGTGGCTTGGGATCTTCAACGGCGCCTCGGCCTTCAACAATTCGGGAATGTCCCTTCTTGACCTCAACATGATACCATTCCAAGACTCGTATTATGTTCTGGTCACCATGGGATTGCTCATCCTGGCCGGAAACACCGCATTTCCCATATTTCTCCGGCTGATTCTGTGGGGCCTCCTACAGGTCTTGGCCGTAGCGACCGGCGAGACCGAGTTCCATGAACTGAAAGAAACATTGCAGTTCATCCTTGACTATCCCCGCCGAGTATACACAAACCTGTTTCCACAGAGACAGACTTGGTGGCTGGTTTTCATGCTTATCCTCCTCAACAGCGTCGACTGGGTCGCTTTCGAGCTTTTGAACATCGGCAACCCCGCCGTTGAGTCGCTCTCAAAAGGCTCGCGAGTTATTGACGGTCTCTTCCAAGCAGTTGGTAAGCTTTGTGTTGGGTCTTTCCTGCTCGGTCAATGTCGCACTAAACAAAAGCTGACCGTGTGGATAGCTGTACGTTCTGGAGGGTTCTACGTGATCGCTATCCCTTCGTTGTACATTGGCGTCCAGGTGCTGTATACCATCATGATGTACATTTCGTGCTTTCCTGTGGTTATAACCCTGAGGCACACAAATGTGTACGAGGAACGCTCGCTGGGTATCTACTCTGGTGACCCGGTACCGTCAGATATCGAATCTGGTTCACATGGGCCCTCTGGGGTAACAGGCCTTGCTCGTCAACTTAGCCACAGCGGGACGTCAGCCATCGGTCGAGTCTTTCACCATACTTTCACTTGGCATGGGGTTGGTGTGCGCACCCCTTCGACAAACCCCGCGGCTAATTCCCGCATCAGCTTCATTGGTGTAAGTTTTGGTGATCTCCCCGACCTGACGAAGGACTGGCCTCATAATGACTTGCCCAATAGCAACAAATCCAGGGACAGTTGGCGCACGATATGTGGTGGCTGGGGGTCGCGGTCCTTGTTATCGTTACGATCGAGACAAGCAACTTCTTGGCCGACCCGGTCACTTTCAGCGTGTTTAACGTGATATTTGAAGTGGTCTCTGCTTACGGCTGCGTTGGAATTAGCGTTGGGCTCCCCAACGCCAACTACAGTTTTTCTGGGGGATGGCATACTGCTTCGAAGGTGGTTCTTTGCGCTGTCATGTTAAGGGGACGGCATAGAAACCTGCCAGTGGCACTTGATCGAGCGGTCCGTCTTCCCGGAGACGAGATGCACGACGAAGAAGAGGAGGATCATCGGCTTCGACGGAGCGTTACTATTCGTGGCGTTGGGTTTAATGAGGGCTAGTATGCTTTTTTTTCTTGTCGGTATGATTGCTGGCGAAAATTTCTCTCCTGAAATAGTGATAGGTGACGCAATTCATACCGGCAGTGCGATATCGAGTTTTTGTATAAAAGTCTGGGGCAACTTGTTTGCACTTGGAAGCAACTTTGCTGAGTGCACTTGTTCGTTGGAGGTACCAGAACGCTGTCACGCCGATACTATTGGCAGTCAACCCTAACCCCAGTTGTAAATGAAAAAAGGGGGGCCACGCAGGAGGTCTCGTGATTTGGTGGCTGCTAACGCGACGTTCGGAGGTTCGGTGCCCACCCAGCGCGTCGCTTATTGACTTGAAGCCTCCGACGTAACCTAACCAACCGTGCCTCCTTGCTTACCTCCCCTCCGTCCCGTCTCTTTCCAGTTTACCAAGATTGCACCTGCGTGATCTTCATTGTTAAAACTGCTCATGCGCGATTGTCTCATCCAATACGCCGCCGATTGGTTTTGTTTTTACTCGCACAGCGCCAGATCCCCCCGCAAGCTGTATCGGAGAGGCACCGTTTGACCTGTCACGCTCAACCCTTGAAATGCGCCATCATTGCCAGAGTCTCCGCTACTGCTCACGCAGCACTATCTCTACACCATGACCACAACAGCACAGCCAGAGACGAGCGCAGCCGATACAGACGACCCTAGCGGATCCACAAAGAATTTGTCACCTCTACGAAACAACCCTGAGGAAAACAGCGAGGATGCAGCTGCTTCACTCAAGTACAGCCTCCTGGGGCCTTCGCTGCTGAAGGCTGGGCAAGATAGCGTTGACCAGTCCAAGGTGTCCGAGATCATCTACTCAGTCTCCAGAGGTTCCAAGTTCTTCAACCGCGAGGAGGCCAGGGACAAGAGTCTTACAGCCAAGATCGACCAGATTCTTAGCAAGAAACGCCAGCTGGAGAAACTTGACCTTGGCCATGAGCTTCGAGTTGCCGATAACCTTGAAAAACAATTGGAGCTCTCGCGGGATCTATCCCAGCACATAGTTCATATCGATTGTGATTCTTTCTACGCATCCGTCGAACTCTTGGATTACCCTGAATTGAAGGACCTGCCTTTCGCCGTCGGCGGAGGGGTCCTAACCACTTGCAACTATATCGCTCGCAAGTACGGCTGTCGCAGTGGCATGGCAGGTTTCGTCGCCAAGAAGCTCTGTCCCGACCTGATTTTGCTCCCGATTAATTTCGACAAGTACACAGCAAAGGCCGGGGAAGTGCGCGAAATCATAGCCGAGTACGATCCCAATTTTGAGAGCGCAAGCATAGACGAGGCCTATCTCAACATCACCGATTATTGTACGCGACATACCATGACCGCCGCCGATGCCGTGTCCAAAATGCGGAGCGAAATCCATGAAAAGACGGGCATCCCTGTTTCTGCGGGCATCGCTGCAAATACAAGGCTCGCCAAGATCTGCTCCAATATGAACAAACCAAACGGGCAATACGTCTTGCCCAGCGAACGTGCCGCTATCATGGAGTTTATGCGGGACCTTCCATCTCGCAAGGTGAACGGCATCGGGCGCGTCTTCGAGCGCGAGCTTGCCGCAGTGGGAATTCATACACTGGGGGATATTCACCCCAACAGGCAGTACCTTCGTCAGCTTTTTGGAGAGAAAGCCTTTGAATTCCTTATTCACTGTTATCTGGGCTTAGGTCGCACGTGCGTGAAGCCAGCAGAGACATATGAGCGCAAGAGCGTCGGCACCGAGGGCACTTTTCGTGACATGAGTGACCCGACAGAGCTCCGAAGCAAGCTGTGTCGGACGGCAGAGGATCTCGAACAAGATTTGCGCCGGGCCGAATGCAAGGGCCGAACTCTGTGCCTCAAAGTGAAGCTTCACACGTTCGAGGTCCTCACCCGCCAGGTTGTTCTTCCCCGGGCTGTATACCTTGCTGCGGACCTGTACAATTACGCGCTTCCGATGCTTACAAAACTAGAGCAGGAAATCCCAGGCATGAAGTTGCGGCTGATGGGTCTGAGATGTAGGCATCTTGTCACTACGAAGAAACCAGACACAATGGCCTTTTTCGGCCTAAAGTCGTGGGCTGATAGATCGGAAGGCTCCGAGACCACTTCAGCGAAGAAAACGCCAGACGTAGATGGCGGTGAATGGGGGAAATGGCCCACGGGAATATCAGCCGTATCTGAAGAGCAAAGGGTCCAGAAAAAAGCAGAAACAAAACTACTGGGACCGGACTCACCCAGTCAGGTTGCTCCCCACAGGGATGGGACTGAGCGAGAGCCCCCTGTTGCAGAGCAAGAGTGGTGGGATTGCCCAATTTGCAACAGGCCGCAGGCAGCAGAAGAAAGGCGTTTCAACGACCATATTGACCTATGTCTCTCGCGACAAGCAATCCGGGAGACCATACAGGAGGGAGCTGCCATGCCGTCCCCAGAGTCCAAATCCTCGAAGATGGAACACAAGAAGTCCAAGGAGAAAAAGAGAGGGCGACAAGCTACTACACCCGACCCGAAACAGAAGAGGCTTTGTTTTGGATGAATGTTGTGTCTGGACTCCTTAATCAAAAGCAAGCCTGGCCCGCGGTTTGGAAAAGGACGGATGATTCTGGATATTAGGGTTTGCGGCACAAGGAGATAAGATGGCCTTGAAGAACGCGGGGCGGCCATCCTTCCAGTACCGATATATCATTCCTTTGTTGTTCTTCTGTCAACGGGTGCCCGTACAATATGGTCAATATATCATCTTAAGCATATCGAAGACCTGTTAGCGCTCTATCCGCAAATCGTTGTATCTTACACATCCATCACGCCACCACCTTCGTACCGAGTTCAACTCCCCAAACAGCTACGAATCCTTGACACTTCTCACTGGTAGGCTGCAGTTCAGCCATGAAGAAGATGCCGACGAACTGACACAGACGATACAGCGCGCAGAGCGACAATGGATGAGAGAATAACAAGGCACCTTCTCTTCTGGTGAAGCTATGTGGAAAGTTTCCCCCCTCGTCAGTATGTCTGACCGAGAAGTCGGCAGGAAATGCACACAAGGCGTTGGCCAACCACTACGCCCACGGCAGATCTGCGCAGTTCCGGGCCAAGTAGCGTCGGGACAGCCACAATAGCTACCTGGTCCTGAAGATTCGACCTGAAAATGGCCCTAGCCGGGCTAGCGAAGGCCATGGGAGGCGGACTTGGGAATCTTCGTAAATGGTTGAAGGCTCTGTGGTCCTTGGCATGGGGCACGTTGTTGGATAGACAACGTGCACTCATGACCCACCGCGGGCTCAACATGATAATGACGGGCGTAAATATGGACCGTATAGTCGAGAGTAGAGGGTAAATAGATAACCGGACAGCGTCGAATACACTTGGTCTCCATTGCCATTCTGGTTACTGACAATTCCCAGTGTACGCTTTGGTTTGAGAAGCATGAGCAAATTCATGATCGATTCAAATGAGAGTTTTTACTCTGGAGAGCTTAATGAACTCGGAGTCGATGATGTGTGCTGCATGTAACGACTGGGAAGACTTTTAAGACTGTAAACTGGGGCTTTGTCCCTTCCGCCCACAGAAACTCTACGACTAAACAAGTTAAAGTTCCTATAGAAATAACGGCGTGAGTACTTGTCTCGGACTGTAACTCTGTCCAGAATACATACATGCTTTTCTTTTGTTAGCTGTTTGGTCACGTTGAGCTTTAAGAAAAAGATAGAGGTATAGAAGTACGTAGTGTTCTCTGAACCCTAAGTAACTCTTATAGAGTTTATCTTAAATGAAGGTCGCAAGTGCAGGATTTATTACCATACAGTAGGCGCTATAAAACATAATCTTTCCTTGGGCGAAGCCGGATATGCCCACAGAAGACAGTGAAACGCCTATGGAGTTCGTATTTTGAATATTATACTTTTGAAGTACGTTTCCTATTAATTTCTATTGTTCCCATTGCTCCTAATGCTCCCAATGTCTTTTTATTGTTTCTATTGCTTCTATTGCTCCTATTGTTCCCAATGCTCCCAATGTCTTCTTATTGTTTCCATTATTTTTATTGCCCCCATTGCTTCCAATGTTTTCAACATCTCCTCATTGCTCTCAATGTTTCTTCATTGCTTCTATTGCTTTTAATGCTCCTAATGTCTCTTTATTATTCCTATTGCAGACTTGGTCATTTTCGTCTTTGTATTACGAACTTAAGCACGGGTCAACCAAGCCACCGGGACACTGCAGCCACGTGAAGGCTGGGCAGTGTAACCACAGCAGAGGAGGAACTTGTGGGCAGACAAGGACTCACCAGTCAAGCTAGGCTCACCGGACGAGTCAACGGTTACCAGATAGTCATGGGACTCACGGATTGTGAGTAGCCGGAGACAGATATCTCGCAGAGGGCGAGGAGATATAAAGGGACTAGGGACTGCTGGAGAACTTAGATTGTCAGATAGTTCGACAGTAGTCATGTGACGAACGGCAGTCTGATCTGCCTAAATGGGATAGTTGAAGGTAAAGACTATCAGTGCTGTTCGGTGAAGCCAAAAGGTTCACAACAAGTATGTTCGTAATACTGGTCTCGGTGATAATGATCTATTGTATGTGTTGACTACTGTCGAACTATCTGACAATCTGAGTTCTCCTGTAGTCCCTTTATACCTGCTCGTCCTTCTGCGAGATATCTGTTTCCGGATGCTCTGTCGAGCCCCATAGGTTTATCTAATGAGTGTTGGCTCACGGTGAGCCACTGCGCCTGTGAGCGCCTGCATGTGCCATTGTATCCCAATGTCGTCCCTGATAGGCTGTGTTGTTTGTCCGAGATGGGGCAGCCAGGTCCCAATGGTCTGGTCGTCCTTTGTGTCACTTAAGTTCGTAACAAGTCAACAAACATTGATCACTATCATTGAAACCAGTATCAACAAGCATACTTGTTGTGAGCCTTTCGGATTCACTGAACGACCCTGATAGTTACTACCTTCAGCTATCTCACTTAGGCAGATCAGACTGCCGTTCGTCACACTTTGAAATTACGGTCTAGTTGCATTTTAATGAAAATTAGCATCTGTTACGATGCACCAGCTCACGTAGTTCCGTATCGCGTAGTTGGGTACAAATGAATAAATAACTGAAGCTAAAGAAGCAAAGAGGGAGAGATTGAGAGCTGGGCTCTAGAATGCATCCTCATATAAGATAAGCTCAGATTCTGCCAGCCTTTATCGTCTTTCTTATCTAATCTAATAATATGTCAGAGTTGCGGGGTCCATATCGTCATAGCATGTTTTTCAAATTTTCTTTACTATTAAATATTAGATCAATATATATATAGTACTAAAATAACTGCAAAATTAAAGTAAGCATTTTACAACCTGTATAATTGTAGTAAATCTTTTTGTTAGAGAAATACTCAGCTGCAAATACTAAAAGTAGCTATTTGAGTTTAGCTTAAATTGCGAATTACCTTTTTAGGATTTCGGGCTTTATAATTAACTGCATTTAGACTGCTATAGACAGAACCGCCGCTCCTTCCTCGCTTTGGAGTGAGCCCATAGACTACGACTTTTGGTGCGGATTTTCTATATCACTTTTGAGCCCACGATAAAGCTGGTGGAAGGAATGAGCGTTTCAAAAAAAAACAAAAAAAACAGCGTTCTTTTTTTCATATCTTAAAAAGCCTAAACTC